AAGCAATTCAAGAAGAGATGGATCAGTGTGTAGCTCTTGCTAAAGAGTGTGGTGTAGCTGAAGCATCCGTGGAAATGTGGGTGGCTTCGGAGTTGTTCATGGATGCTAACAAGAGGGCCTTTTTCAGAGCTATGCAGACTATTGAAGCAAGGCTTGCGTGGATCCAAATGCACTGCCAGCAGAGAGGAATTGTGACCAAGAAGTAAACTGTAGCAGTGTGATGCTAGTAGTAATCATGTTATGTCGTGTTATGTGAACTTGAATCATGTTATGTCGTGTTATGTGAACTTGAATCATGTTATGTCGTGTTATGTGAACTTGAATCATGTTATGTTGTGTTATGTGAACTGCAATTTGAACTTTGATTGGTCATGTGTTATATTTCTGTTGACCGGAGTAATAATTGTGAGCATATGATCCATCATATACTGTTACTTGTTGGTACTAAATTGATCCTCTACCCTTTTTGTAGCAATGGATGGCTGCCACCATGGGTCAGTGGGCAGAGGAGGACGAAGAAGAGGAGGAGCAAGAAGCTGCAGCAGCAGAGAGGAGGAAGAACATAATATTCAGCGCTGCACAACTCATTGGTACGTACCACCTTGAGAACATGGCAAATAAAAATATGTACCGCCAACCTAAAGAAACTGGATATGAGTGGGTCATGAGGACATTACATCATAAGACACAATGTTTCAACATGTTTAGAATGGATAGAGAGGTGTTTGATAGCCTGCACAATTTGCTTGTAGAGTCATATGGATTGAAGTCTACTACGAAGATGACATCTGTGGAATCTTTAGCCATGTTCTTATGGAAGGTTGGTGCTCCCCAATCTATACGACAGACTGAAAATCGTTTTGTTCGATCAATGGAGACACTTCATAGGAAGTTTGATAGAGTCTTGGAATGTTTGGTTAAGTTGGCAGGAGACATAATTCGCCCACTAGATCCACAGTTTAGGACACCTCATCCAAGAGTCCAAAATCCAACGTTTGCTCCGTTCTTCGACAATTGCATTGGAGCCATTGATGGAACACATATAGAGGTGGTTGTGCCAAAGACAGACCTCATCACACACATGAACCGAAAATCAACTACTACTCAGAATGTGCTAGCAATATGTGATTTTGACTTGAGATTCACCTTCATCGTTACTGGGTGGCCTGGGTCGGTTCATGACATGAGGGTGTTCAAGGCAGCACTAGACAAATTTGGCAACCACTTCCCACATCCTCCCCAGGTACATTTAGATTGCAGTACACATTTCTTTGATCAACCCGATGATTGATGCTTTTCTAACAGTTTAACATTGTAGGGAAGTTTTATGTGGTGGACTCGGGATTCTCTAACCAACCTGGTTATCTTGCACCGTACAAAGGAACGAAGTACCATTTTCAAGAGTACAATCAAGGTCCACCGCCAAGAGGTAAAAAACAAACATTTAATCATAGACATTCCCAAATTCGCAATGCAATAGAGCGATGCTTTGGAGTACTGAAGAACAAGTTTAGGATTTTGTTGCACATGCCCTCTTATCCACCACCAAAGCAAAGTAAAATTATTTCAGCATGCATGGCTTTACACAATTTCATTAGAGAGAGTAAATTGGAGGATAGAGATTTTGGAGAGTGTGATGATGATGAGGAGTTCATTCCAATGGTGGATGAGCCTAGTTGCCTATGACGCCGACGCCAACGACGAAGCCGTGCAACTGAATCGCAGGGGCAAAACTCGCATGATGATCATACATGAACGTTTTTCGTAATTGGATAGCGGAAGGACTGCATAGTAGGCGGTAATTGGTATTTGTTCGTGCCGAACAATGTAATTTGTATTTGTTACTGATGACTTGTATGGATATATGTATGCATATTTGAAATGGATTTGTAAAATGAGGTGTGGTTATTACAGTGGCAAAAGGCCTTGGAATGTTATGGATCTGAATGCATGCACTCAATTTTTTTGATATTACCAAATGCACTCATTTTTTTATATTACCCAATGCACTCATTTTTTTTGATATACTGTCGTTCAAGATATTGTGCTCTTGGAATGTTATGGATCTGTGCATACCAATTATCAAGTTTATGTTGCCTTTCATACTACTCATATGAGATAGCTACAGATAATCTTATTGATCTATTCTGCTGTTTGGGTATACAACATGAATTATTGCTTTTATACATGAATTATTGATCTATTTTACACATGCATTATTTTAAGGTGTGGTCAGGTGACTTATAAGTCAGGTGACAACCAAACAGACGTGACTTATAAGTCACTGGTTTTAAGTCACCTGACTTATAAGTCAGGTGACTTATTGGAACCAAACAGGGTCTAAGTTGGGGTGGAGCAACTTATGACTTATAAGTTGGGGTAACTTATAAGTTGGGGCTGTTTGGCAAAATAAGTCACTTTTCGCACTTTTGGACTTATAAGTTGGTGACTTATTTGGAACCAAACAGGGACTTACTGCCCGCTTTCTTTCCCACGCACAAAAAGTTTCTCCGACTCGCATTTTTCTCTCCGCCCTCCGTGTCACGGACCGGACCTGGTCTGTCTACACTGCCCCTGCCTGCCTGCCGCCGCCAACTTTCACTCTCCCGTTTCGCCAGATTTCGCCGGATGACATCAATTTTTTTGTTTGGTGGTGTTCTTGGGGTGCGAACGGCTGAAGATGCTCTAAATCACACAAGCCCTCCCACCCCTGTCAATGACGAGCAGCAACACTAAATTACTCCATCATGGAAGCGGAAGCTCGCCTGTAGGCCACCGTGCCACGTGCCCCGTGGGCCCACACACCGGTGTCCCACTCCCTATCCTCAAACCAACCCTCTACGCACCACTCGCCGCTCCAGAAGGGAGGAAGGCTTTGCCCTGGTCGCCTTGCGAGAGGGGAAAGAAAGACGTGTTTGAGTTGGCCGTTACATATGCATCGTATTGCCCATAACATTACAAATCAAATTGTCGGGACTTCGTCGACGTAGTTACATGAGATTTGCCTCAAGAATCTCGTTAAAGGTTGTGAGTTCATCACTGCAGCCATCGTGGAGAAGCTCTGTTGGAGAAGAGTGGAAGTAGAAAGAGGGAATACCCATGTCAGGCCATGTAGGGCCAATAGTTGACGTACTTAGATCCGGACAAAACTCCAAACATGTAAGAAACTACATTAAAGCAAGCTTTGTATTGGTTATTGCTTCCACCCTAGTGGTGACGGCTAATGTTACTAAAAGCTTAGCTGATGAAAGGGTTTCTGAGCGAAGGCTTGTTGGCTTTGGTCGTTGGCGTGGAGTATCTTGTTAAGCTCCGGCTTGGTCGAGGGGGAATATATCAAATATCTGTCTGGGATTCATGTTTTCTTATGTTTATTTTGGGTACACAATGCAATTTCAGTAGTCATTTTCCGTTTCAATTAGAAAATGCAGTCGGTTTTTTGGGGTACTATAAGTGATCAAGGGGTGATAAACTCATATTACAGTGGGAACCTTTTCACAGAGTTCCATTACGATCAACGGGTGGCTCTGTGTGCTCATTTTGAAAAGCCTACCAAGCACTTATTTGCTCTAATTAAAGTAGCTATGAGTCTATGACCCTTGCACGGGTGACTCCATTCCATTGTGGATGGATGTACGAACTCTGGTGTGGAAAATTGAATAGGGGATTTGAACTTTAGAAGGTCGAATCCACCCTTTTTGGAACCAAATAAGCTAGTTATTTAGCTATTAGTTTCGGACACATTTACTTGTAGAGGAACAAACCTCGTTGAGCCAACCACGCAAGCATACTAGGGACACCACCGCAATCTGGATAGGCAACCATACCCACATTGAATGCTCAAACAAAAGGCTGTTGAAGAAGACAACGGTACCATTATCAGCGCCCATGAAGGAGGCATGTCGATAAACAACAAGAAGACCCAACCGATAGTCCATGAAGGCCACCAAGGGCAAAACCTCCCAAGTCCCTCGACAAGAGACTTGTATCGAAGACGACATCACCGTCATCGTTACAACAAGCCATCACAATACCAAATCCCCGCGAAAGAAAACCTCCCACACCCACGACGAGATATCAAAACCCCCCTGCCCCTCCGGCCCATATCGTTGGAATCGAAGCGGTGGCCGGAGAAGGGAAGAGCGGAGCGGGGGTCGCGTCCGGAGAGCGGCGGTTAGGGTTTCACCCTCTTCTTTTCCGCGGAGCAAAAAATAATACTCCCTCTGTTTAGTGATCTAAACGCTTTTCTATTTCTTTAGGGAGGAAGTAGTTGCCACATTAATCTAATAATGAAGCCGTGATTACAATTACTACACAAAAGAGGAGGCAGGTGTTCAAAAGAGGAGGAACAAATTACCAACAAAGAAAGCTGCAGGAAGCGGGTCCAGCCGTGGCAAGTCAGAGCTGAGGGTTTCCCGTAATAATTGGCCAACCCCTCCCACCCCCTATCACATGACGAGCAGCACCAATAAATTACTCCATCATGGAAGCGGAAGCTCCCCCCTCCCCTCCCCCTCCCTCCCTATTATAACTTCCCTCCAAAGTCCAATCCCACCGCAAT